TCAGGGTCGATGCCAGGGCAACTGCGCCCAGGGCGACCCCTCTTAGAGAAACTCTAGCCTGGTGCGTCTCCTATCGGAATAGAATGACACTGCGCGTCTATTCCCTCGATCTCTTTAGTGAAATACAACGCATCCACATCAAATCAAGAAAAGCTCCAAGTCCTGAGGAACCCGAGTAGAGCAGAGAAGTTGTTCAAGGAGTCTGGGTTTTACCGTGGATTCTTTGGCGCTAGCTCCCAGCTGACAAATCAACATCTCAATCTGACAATTAGTGGTCGAGGTAGGGGGAGAGGGGCTCTCACAGCCCGCCCCCGGCTTAGTCCTCCCAGCCGGAAGCAAAGAGGTGGGCCGGTTCTGGCAGTGATGAACGACTCCAGGGGGGGCCAGGCCCCCCGAGCGCGCATTCATTACTCGACTGACAGGCGGGCCAGGCAGACTAGGCAGGCTGTGAGTGGACGTGCAGGGAAAAAGAGGCCAGGGGCAGGAGGGGGAGTGAGGGAAACGTTTAACAGTCCCACCTCTCCCCCTGCTCCCAGTTCTTCGCCTCAACCCTGGTACTTTCTTGAGCTTGGCCTTCTAGTTGTTGGAAAATTTGGGAAGCAGGGGCGGGGACCTAAGCCCCTCTCCTTGGGTTGGGCGATTTAAGGTCTGAGATGTCAAGAAAGGGTGTAGACAAGCCTTAGGACTAGGCGCTTGGGCCTGACCTCTGAGGAATTGTGCGTGATTACGCACTCAGAGATGGTGTGTGTGACAGGGATTGATGGGTGTGAATCTCGCGTGGGGATCAGTGATGATGTATGTCGGAGCTAGGGATGTGTTAGCCTGATTTTGTCAGTGGAGGTATGAGATTCGCGTGTCTGAGGATGAGCCACCACCTCTCCCTGCGTGTATGTCCCCTTACCCTCCCCCCCCCCCCAGTTTGCTGTCAGCTCTGTCTCCAGTTCTGGAGGAAATGGCAGTGCGCACAGTGACAGCTGAGGTGTGCTGCTGGGGGACAGGTGGTGATGGATGTTAACTGTGAGAGTGCTGATCAGGACAGCTGCTCCCTTCTACCACCTTCACCACAAACATCACCCTTTCCCCAAGCACCTTGCAAATAGTGGATTTTTTTTTTTCCAAAGTCTGGAGACCTAGTTGCTGAGTCTTGGGGAAGCAAGTGATTACCATCAGAGTTCTCTACAGCCCATACCCCAGCCCCCATACACATACGCACAGTCTCCAATATAAGATGTGATCTCCAACCCAGCTGGCCTCCCCAGGCTGGCGGTGGTCAGAGACGAGGAGGTAGATGCTGAGCAGACACGGGGTGATGCTCAGGAAGTGAAGGGGCAGACCTTCAGACCTGTGAGAGAACTCATCTTTTTGGGGCCTGGAATAGCGGCCTCTGAGACCCTGACCTTCTGGATGTCAGGTCCAGTTCGTTACCAATTGACACCTTTGGGAGGATAAAGCTAACTGTACTCTAATTCCTCTCCCTAATAACTCTCTTTCTTTACCTGGCTTTGTCTCCACACTCCTCCTCCATTCTAAAAAACACCTAGACGTTGAGCCTGGCCTCCTCCCCAGCCCTGAGTCTCCTGGGTCTATAGAGCAGACAGTTGGGGTGACTCTGGTCTCTGGCCCCCTGTTTTATTCAGTGATTCTTTAAGACGCCTTCCCTTTGCCTCGCTAGAGTACTTCCTGGAGCTTCTATGTCTTTATCTCTGTACCATTCTTTGTGTCTGCATGTTTCCACCTTTAGGGATTTCTTCCAAATTTGTCTCTCTACATTTTGGGGGGCTCTCTTTGTTTCTCTAAGAATACCCCAGCCCAGCAGTGAGGCCCACGGGGATTGGGGTAGAGAGAGCAGGGTTTCCTTCCTGCCTTCATCCAGAGGCAATCGCTAACCCAATGATGGTCATGCCCTGTCAGGGCCTGGGCATGCCCAGGTCACTTCTCATTCCGGGCACAGGCGCCTGGTCGATGCCCCGCTGTCCGTCCCCCCTCCAAACAGTCCTCCTCCTGGCCCCCGCCCCCTCCTCCCGCCTGGAAAAGGCAAATTTGACATTTTTAAATCCCGAGCCTTAGAGGGATCGATGCGGCCCGGGGGCCCCGTCCGGGGTCGATATTCCTGATTGGGAAGCGGCAGCTGCGCGGAGCCCGCGTGTAAATCACCCCGGCCTGGGGGAGGGGGCGCGGGGAGCCTACCGCGTTCCAGGCGCGCTGAGCCTGGCAGGGTCGAGGTCCGGGCGGGACCCTAGGGCGACAGAATGAGGAGAACAACAGACCTTAGAGAACCAGAGAGAAGCCCGCCCAGAGCCTCCCCCCTCCTCTGCCCAGCCCTGCCAACTCCCCCGGCCGGCTCCAGTCTCGCTTCAGCGGCTGCCACCCTCCGTTGCCCCTGGAGCCGCCGGGGAGGCCGGTGTCGGAGCCAGCCATGCGGCGGGTCCTCTCCGGCCGCTCCCGCGGGGCCGGGGCTTCGGCGGCGGCTGTCACGGAACCGACAGGCCGGGCTAGCCGGGAAGGGGCGGGTGACGGGTGGCGGGGGAGAGGCGGCGTGGGGGGGAGGCTGGCGCAGCTCAAGTACTCAGTGGGCGCGCAACAGATGTTTGCCGAATTGAGGGACTGCAAGGTGGCCTGGGACACAGAGCGGCGTGGGGCAAGGGGTGTGAGGGCGGGGGCTGGGGAGGAGGCAGCCCAAACCAGGCAAGGGCCGGAGCCTCACTCGTGGGGTGAGCAGGCACTCAAGGGCGCTCTGGGGATCCCTGGGCTGGGGGCTAGACACCCCCAACCCCCGCGGGGGAGACCCGGGTAATAAAGAACAAGAGAGAATGGGGTGGACAGGGGAGTTTGGGCCCCACCTGCAACCTCCTCCTCTGCCCCTGGCCTCCAGTCCTTGCAGCGCTGTGCTGGGGAAACCGAGGCCGCTGAGGCTGAGAAGGACCAAGAAGGTTAAAAGCGGGGTCAACGACAAGGCTGGGGCAGCAGCCAGGATTCCTGCGTCGGTCTGTGGATTCACCCGCTCACCCTGGGTCTGCTGGCGGGTAAATACACCACCACGCCTCTCTCCGCAGCTCAGACCCTTCCTTCCCGCTTCAGCTTGTCAGATCCCCCCACCTCCCACCCCGCGCCAGTTTATAGAACAACAATTTGGGGAAAACAATCCGGGCCGAGTGACGGCCCCGTAATTGTGACAAAGTGAGTGCGTGTGGCTGGAGAGAGCGCTAGGGCGGGAGCGCTGTGGGGCTAGGCGGAGGCCGGGGCGCCTCCCGCCCTCCCTGCAGCCCCTAGTTCTCATTCTGGTCACCTCCCATCCCTCTCCTTGACTTCTCCAATTCCTCTTCTCCCGGCTCCTCGCGCCTCCCTTCGCTTGTTCCTCCATCGCTCTTCCCTTTCCTGCGGGTAACAGCTCCTCTCCCGCTCCCCACCCCCTCGCCGCCCCTCCCCGGGTGCGCTTTTTCCTCGCTCCCTTCTCCCTCTCTCCTCCTCCCTCCACTCGTTTCTTCGTCTTTTCCTGGCGCTTACATTGCCCTTGGGCCCCCGCTCTCCCGGCACAATCCGCTTCTCTCCCTTCCCAGTCGTCGCTCCCTGACGTCGAGTCCTGAGCCCCCTTCCGGACCCCCACTCCCTGGGAGGCCAGGGCAGCCCGGCACTCCTGGGTTCCTCCAGCAGCAGAGCTAGCAGCAGGCTGCGGCCCAGGGGGCTCTGGCGGCCTGCCCCTTCCCTCCCTCTCCTGCGGCTGCCGCCCCCACCCTGCTGCGGGTGCCGGGAGCTAGTTTGTTTGTCCGGTGGCCGCCGCCGCCGCTCGCGCTGTTTGCCAAGCTTAGCGCGCCGCGGCGCAGGGCCGGCCCAATTAAGTCTCATTCATTATTCAGTGCCCCTGTCCGCCCCCGCCCACAGCGGGTCAGGGAGTCGCCTCGGGGCCCCTCCCAGCCCAGGCCCCTCAGTGATCCCTTAGGGGTTATGTGGGGAGCCATATTTCCTCCCCTGGCAGGGATAAGGACTGAGGGGACAGAAACACTCTGCCTACGGCAGGGCGATGATAACGGTGAGGCGCACCCGGCCCACCTCATCCTCAAGTTAAGACGTGGGGACCTTGGAGATCCAAGCCCCTCCTTTACAGAGCGGACAATTGCGGCGTAGACTCCAGGATTGGAGGCCGGGACACCGAAATGAAGGCATCTTGCATCCCAGCTCCATCCCAGCGCGAAGGCGGCAGAAAGGCTGATTACTCTGTTCTCTGAGTCTTGGGCTGCCGCCTCGCTCTCCTGGCGGGACGCTCCCAGCCCTCTATCCCTTTTTGCTCCTGTTTTTCCCCTCTCGCCCATAGCCGGAGGCAAAAAGAAGCCTCGGGGCTCCCACTGGATCAGGAGGCTCCTCAGGTCTCAGGCCGCTGTCTAGATGTGGAGTCTTCTAACTGGAAGGCCTGGAGGCAGAGCAGTGAAGCAAACTTGGGGAGGAGGAGTTTGAGGCGAACTCGGAGAGGGCAATGAGGCAAACTCGGGATGGGGCTGTCCCTCTCTGCAGCCTGTCCGAATTGGAAGTGGAACCATGCACGGCCGTGTTGAAGGGCAATGGAGTGTGGAGAGAGGAGCGTGCAGCCAGAGGTGAGGGAGGAGTCACTCTCTCATATGCCGGGGGAAGGAGCAATCAAGGGCATACTCTTGCATTTATGCCCGTCTTTTCTTTTCAGCGCCACAGGTGGGACCGTCTCCATGCTCCTGCCAGGCAGTCCCTCGGGAGAGGCCGCCCTGGGCTGCTAAGCCTGGGCATCTGGAGAAGGCGAGTCTGGGGACCCGCCCGGACCCGCCCTTCCATAAGCCGCAGCGCCACTTGGCGGCCGTGGTGCCGCGGTGCAGGAGGCGCGCTCGACCTGGGGTGGGGCGCTGCACCAGCCCGTTAAAGCAGGATGCGTCTGGAAAGTCTTCAAACCGAGTTTTCCCGAGAGGGCGGGCGAGAGGAGTCGGGCGGGAGGGTGATCCCGAGAGGACTAGGGAGGGCCTGGTGGAGGGGCCCGCCCAGGGCGGCCTGACTTCGGTGACGAAGCAGACACAGAAAGACAAAGTCCATTTGGATGGAAGTGGGAGCTCAGTGAGAGGGGCCATTTTGACTCTGGTGACAGGAAATGACTGGTCTCTCGCGGTCTGGGAGCGGGGCACCCAGGTACGGCCGCTCAACCTGGGACTAGTGGGTACTGGCTGGTGGTCGTGAGGCCCGCTCCACGTAGAGGGGCGACTGGCAGGCACGCTTTGGCATCTGGTTTGATAATCTGAGCATTTGTCCAGCTTTGGAGAGGCTTTCCAAGTCTGCCTCCGAAGGAGATGGTTGAGTTGGGGGGTGCCAAGGTGTAGGTCAAAATGTAATTTTCCAAGATGTTTAAGTGGAGGGAATTCAGGACCCCTTTCAAGTTTGCCTCGTGGGAATATCTCCTGGCTTGGAGAGATGGGAAGGCTGGAGAGGCGCTAAAGCCTGGGCCAGGTGTCCGAGGGCAGCCATAGTCGGAGTCAAGGAGCAGGGGCCAGGGAAGGGGCTTTCAAAATGCATGGGAACTTTGGAAAGGCGTCCTATTCAGTCCTTCCTCTTCATGCTCCTTCAGTGAGTCATTCCGAGGTCAGTGGTCTGAGGGGAGGTCTGAATTTAAACAGTCTTCTCCCCTAAATTTGGAGTTCTGTGTTTGTAGAGAACAAGACTGAGGTGCTGGAACAGAGGACATGGGATAACTAGCATTCCAGGGACTCAGGTAGTTCTGGACTTGGCTTTAATTAGAAGGAGAAATGGTTACTGTGTTGGGCCTGGATATAATCGTATGACTCTGCTCTTTTCCATCTTTTAGGGTCTAAGGATAACTCTGGGGCCATTATGGTCATGATTCTCACAGAGAACCCTGAGATTTCTGCACTTGAGCAATGTCAGGTGCCACTGAACTTGTTCTGAGACCCTTGCCCTAGAGGATGGCCAAGGGGCTCCTGGTGACCTATGCCCTCTGGGCTGTAGGGGGCCCTGCTGGGCTCCACCACCTGTACCTGGGAAGGGACAGCCATGCCCTGCTCTGGATGCTTACCCTGGGTGGGGGTGGGCTGGGCTGGCTCTGGGAGTTCTGGAAGCTCCCAAGCTTTGTAGCTCAGGCCAACAGAGCCCAGGGCCAGAGACAGAGCCCAGGAGGGGTGACACCCCCTTTGAGTCCCATTCGCTTCGCTGCCCAGATGATAGTTGGCATCTATTTTGGCCTTGTGGCTCTGATTAGCCTTTCTTCCATGGCCAACTTCTACACTGTGGCCCTCCCACTGGCAGTTGGCTTAGGGGTGTTGCTGGTGGCTACTGTTGGCAACCAGACCTCAGACTTTAAGAACACTCTAGGGGTGGCATTCCTTACTTCCCCTATCTTCTATGGCCGCCCCATAGCCATCCTACCCATCAGCTTGGCTGCCAGCATCACAGCCCAGAAGCGTCGCCGCTACAAACCTTCAGTGAAGTCAGAGACACTCAGTGTGCGGCTCTATCGGCTGGGCTTGGCTTACCTTGCTTTCACAGGCCCACTGGCATACAGCACCCTCTGCAACACAGCTGCCACCCTCAGCTATGTGGCAGAAACCCTTGGCTCCTTTTTGAATTGGTTCAGCTTCTTCCCCCTTCTTGGCCGCCTCATGGAGTCTGTCCTCCTTCTGCCTTACCGGATCTGGAGGCTACTGGTGGGGGATCCTGGCTTCAACAGCAGATACTTCCAGGAGTGGAAGAAGCTCTATGAGTTTGTTGACAGTTTTCAGGATGAGAAGCGTCAGCTGGCTTACCAGGTAAGGCTTTCTTCCCTCTCATTCCTGTCTAGGATGGCTCTGGGTGTTAGGCTAAGCTTTGTTGGAGCTGGCATCCATTATGTGGAAGTACTTTTCTCATTTCTGCTGGCCAGGCCCAGGAAGACTGTTTTATATTCTTTTGGCATCTGTGTGTAATGGGCAAAGGTTACAGAGGCTTTAATAGTGAGTGGGAAAAATATATGTCTATTATTTACTTTTTATTGAGGTATAACATATAAAGTGCACTGATTTTAGATACACATCACTCAGATCAGGGTATGGAACATTTCCAGCATTGAGAAGGTTCCTTTGTGCCCGCCCCTTTCCAGTCTATACTCCCACTTTCAGAGGTAACCTCTATTCCGACTTCTATCACCATAGATTAGTTTTGGCCATTCTTTTTTTTTTTTTTTTTGAGACAGAGTCTCACTCTGTTGCCCTGGCTAGAGTGAGTGCCGTGGCATCATCCTAGCTCACAGCAACCTCAAACTCCTGGGCTCAAGCGATCCTACTGCCTCAGCCTCCCGAGTAGCTGGGACTACAGGCACGCGCCACCATGCCCGGCTAATTTTTTCTATATATTTCTAGTTGTCCAATTAATTTCTTTCTAATTTTTAGTAGAGACGGGGTCTCGCTCTTGCTCAGGCTGGTTTTGAACTCCTGAGCTCAAACAATCCGCCCGCCTCGGCCTCCCAGAGAACTAGGATTACAGGCAGTTTTGGCCATTCCTGAACCTCAAATAAATGGAATCATACAGCAGGTATTCTTTTGTATCTAGCATCTTTCATTCAACATTATGTTTATGAGATTTATTAATACTGTTGCGTGCAATTGTAAATTATTTGTTTTCATTGCTGTATAGTATCCCATTGTATGATTATATTACAATTTATTTATCCACTGTGTTAATGAACATTTGGGTTGTTTCCACTTTGGGGCTATTATAAATAAAGCTACTATAAATATCCTTATACATGTCTTTGGTGGAGACATATATACACTTATTTCTCTTGTTGGGAGGAGATCTTGTCAGAGATCTTGTGAAGTTCCAGGTTGGAACATGGGCAGTTGTGATTAAAGGCAAATCCTGGCTTTTGCCATGAGATCTAGAGCTTGTCCATGTTTCAGAAGGCTGGAATTCTAGCTTGAGGTGCTGTTCTTTTCCCCTGGGTAAGTAGAAGCCCATTCCAGAGATATCATAGCCTGATTATCGAAGGTGCAGGAAGAGGCCCAGATGCCCTGACAATGTTGTGAGATTCTTGTGAGATTCTAATTTTCACCTTCTGTTTCCATAAGGTTTTGGGCCTCTCAGAAGGGGCAACAAATGAAGAAATACATCGGAGTTACCGGGAGCTGGTGAAGGTCTGGCACCCTGACCATAACCTGCACCAGACAGAGGTGGCACAGAGGCACTTCCTGGAAATCCAGGCTGCATATGAAGTCCTGAGTCAGCCCAGGAAGCCCAAGGGACCCTGAAAGTGAGAAGAAACTTCTCCCTAAGGATGGAGTCTTCCCAGCAGAGCTGGGCAGCTTGTCTCAAGTCTAGCTGTGCCCACGAGGGGCATTCCAGCAGCATTAAAGAAATTATCTGCTTATAGTGGAGATGAGAAAATCTTAAAGGGGTAAGAAAGATTATGGTAGAAGAATGTATTTATGTTGTGAATTTCTAAATTCTTGGCTGTTATAGTCTTGACTATTTTTCTTAAAACCAGAGAGTGAAAGGCATATTCTAAAACCAATAACATATCTTTTAGAGCAGCGGTCCCCAACCTTTTTGGCACCAGGAACCGGTTTCATGGAAGACAATTTTTCCACAGATAGGGGTGGGGGTGACTTCGGTGGAGCTCTGCAGGCCGGTCCCTAACAGGCATGGCCTGGGGGTTGGGGACCACATTTTAGAATATGTGCAAATATTATATATTAATTTAAAAAATTAGAAAATCTATCTATCTATCTATCTTAGTGAATATACCACCTTGTCCCACTCCTGGTACATTGATGTGTGGAGGAAGGTAATTTAACTTCTTTTCTTTAACGTGTAAAGCACCAGGTTAGGAGATTGAAGGAAAAATATAAAGTGTCTAATATTTTACAAGCTGTCCTATGACAAGAAGAATTTGATTTATTCTGTAGATTACTAAGGGGTAAGACTGGGGTTAAATTTCAAAATTTCAAAAGAATTTTAATTCTGTTTATAGGAGAGCTTTCTAGCAGCTATCCTTTTCCCAAGAAGGAACAAGCTGCTGTGGAGTAGGGGGTAGTCTCGCATCACAGACTCCTCTGCTTGGAGGAGTATTTTTGGAGAGTTCTCAAACTTTACATAGGTGGTTTGACTGGCTGAATTCTCAAGTCTGCCCAGTACTTGAGGTCTGATTCTGAGCTACACACCCTGCTCCCTAGGAGCATACAATCTGCTGGGGTATAACACCCCATCGCAGATACCGAAGGTACACAGATATCAAAGTCCTCGTTCAGTGTTTTGAACTAAGTGTCGTAAGAGCTGTAAATAATATATTGGGATATTGGAGGAGGGATAGATAACATTGTTTTATGGGGCTCCTGGAAAGATTCGTGATTTTATATCTTGTATATCCCTGGGGAACTTTGGGGAAACCCTAGGGAACCAGCAGCTTGAGCATCTCAAGGAGGCCTTATTTAATTCTAGGTAACTAGCCAGGTATGAAAGAAAGAGCCCAGGATGTCTCAGTTTTCCAAGGAAGACTGGCGACCAGGAGAATGATGTCAAAATTATTTATCTTGACTGCAGCTCTTTTATATGTGTGTACAATCTCTACACTTTTTTTCTTTTTTCTGGATGTTAACTCTGAGTAGCATATATATAAAAAATATAGATTTTAAAGTAGAATTATGTCAGCTAATATTCTCTAAAGATTAAGAAAATGGTCTGATCAATTGAGAGGAATGAAATTCATAGATGTTTTTTCTTTGCATTAATATATACAAAAACTTTTAAAAATTTGCCATTGAATTCACTTATGTACCATGATTTCAAGACCGAATTAACTTTCGTACCTTTTAAAGTTGCCAAAAATTGATATATGTTTCCTTTGAAAAACACAGTTTGTCAGATTATTACATGGAGTTTTAATGGGGCATTTTCATAGGCTATTAATTAGTAATTTATTAACATAATATATAGCACTATATCTGCACAATGTAAATATATCAAAAATAGTCTATAAGAAAAAAGAGGCATTTTCCAGCAAGCTTTAGGCCATCTGCATCTCAGGAGTGGAGTTGGCAGGACAAACTCTACAACCATGGGGTAACCTGTGTCCACCTCTTTTGTAAGCCATCCTTTTCTGCCAAGGACCCACTTGGATTTCAAGTGTAGATTTCAAATCTATTTTGTTGATATCCTTGCTTGTTAGAAACCTTAACTGTTTATAATATGTGTTGTGGATATCTTTCCCCAGTCTATGACTTGTCTTTTGACATTAAGTGTGGGTTTTAGAGTCAAAGGGACTAGCACTAGGATTTGAATCTGATTCCATGATTTTCTAGCTGTTTGATCTAAAAGAAAGTCTGTTCAGGATGGGGATGACAACAAGCATCCCAAAGGACTCCCTACTCCCCACTAGAATGCCTTCTCAACAACTGGAATAAATTTAAGTTAGAAAGTCTAAAAAAAAAAAAAATAGAAGAAGAAGAAGAAAAGAAAAAGAAACCAAGGAGTGATTAGGGGCTCTACTAGATTTGGAAAATTATTTTACTGTTCTTAAATTTTATAATGGGTTTTTGTTACAAAATATGGATATATTTTAATTTATTTGAATGGGAACTACTGATGGGCCACATCTGTTTTCCCAACATGAGCAAGGCTATAATAAATATCTTTGAATATATATACTGATGCTTTTTGGTTTTTTGAAGCTAGATTCCAATAAGTGATAATGTAGGGTCAAACAGAAGACATGTTTTAAATTTTGATGGATATTGTATCAGGTTACTTCCAGAAAAGGTGGTAACAATTTACACTTCCACCAGCATATAAGAAAGTGGCCTTTTCTTTGTAAAAATTTTTGTCAAGATGATGGGTGAGCAATAATATCTAATCACTTTAATTTGCATTTTCCTGACTCCTAGTGAAGTTCAGCATCTTTTCAAATGTTTATTGGACATTTGCATTTCTTCTTCAGTGAATTGCTTGATAGTACTTTCTACCTGTTTTTAAATTGTGTTCCTTTTTGTCTCTATCAAATCTATTTTGTTGATATCCTTGCTTGTTAGAAACCTTAACTGTTTATAATATGTGTTGTGGATATCTTTCCCCAGTCTATGACTTGTCTTTTGACATTAAGTGTGGGTTTTAGAGTCAAAGGGACTAGCACTAGGATTTGAATCTGATTCCATGATTTTCTAGCTGTTTGATCTTGGATTTCTTTGGCCTCTTGGAGCTTTAGTTTCCTCTAAAATTGAGATAATAGTATCTACTTTTAAAGGGTTGCTGTGATAAAGAAGACAGCATATGTGGAATGAGCAAGGGTATTAATAATTAGTAGTTTCCTTTCTCTTTCAGCCTACGTAAGGAAATAGGGCTTAAATGCCTAGTGAGGTTAGCTGGTATAGAATGAAGGTTCTACCTGTAAGGCTGAGTTTTCCTGGAGTGTATTAGTGTATTTTGTATTTGTAAAAAATTACCTCTTGTTTTCCTATAAATTACTGTATGAATGCTTACAAAGAATGATTAGAAAGAAGTAAATAAGAATTATGTGTAGTGTTGTAGTGGTGGGGTTACAAGTGGCCCAATCCGCATTTTCTACTCTCTCTCTCTCTCTCATTTTATAAATAAGAAAAGTACATTCTAGCCTTGCTTAGCTATTTATAGGGAACCAGGGAAGTGATTTGGATTTGGCCATTATTGGGTTACAGTGGGTTTTTTTTGTTTCCTAGAGACAGGGTTTCACTCTGCTCCCAGGCTAGAGTGCAGTGGTGCAATCATAGCTCACTGTAACCTCAAACTCCTGGGTTCAAGTGATCAGCCTGCCTGAACCTCCCTAGTAGCTGGGACTACAGGTGTGTGCCACCACACTCAGCTAATTTTTAAAAATTTTTTTTGTAGAGATGGGGTCTCAATATGTTGCCCAAGATGGTCTTGAACTCCTGGCCTCAAGGGATCCTCCCGGCTAAGCCTCCTAAAGCACTGGGATTACAGGTGTGAGCCACCATGCCCAGCCAATTCTGGAGCTATAGTTTTAAAACTGAGCAGAGATCTGAGTCAGTTGTGATAGTAAAAGACCTCAAAATGATACAATTTCAAGGGTAAGATGAATTTCATGGGGAGGAAATGGAAAACTGCTTATAAGGTGACTCTTTTCACCTGCAGATTCTCCTTGGTGACCCTTTTCACCTGTAGATTCTTCTTGCAGAACTCTCTGTACATCCTCTGGAAGATTCATTTCAATTAGGGAGGCTATTCCTGACATCTGGAGTCTCAATCCTTCTATGTAGAAAGCTGAGGTATTTATAATTTGTAAGGTGACATGGCTCTGTAATCATTGGTCACTTTAGTGTGGATTGGTGCTAAGTTTTCCACAGAAGAGAGTTTTGTGGGTATGCGCTGGGGTACTAGGTGAGAAGTGAAAAAGAGGTTGAAGAATGTTTACCTCCTAATAGGAAAGACTTTTTGATTAAGTCATGCTTGGATTTTTTTTTTTTTTTCCCTCTTCCTTCTTGTCCTGTGAGCAGGTACTGAAATTTGAGTCCTTACCAGGAGTAGACTGTCCACCCACCCTGAGAGGGTGTCGTTCCTATACATCATAGCCAGTGGTGGAGCTCAGGCAATTTTTGAAAGGAAGAAAGTGGCACAAAATCACATGAATTGAGACCTTCTGTGAGGGAATTCCTCTTCACCACCAGCCCTGGGACATTACAATCCCTGAGAGAATTTTCTGGGGATGTGTTTCCCAAAGGACCTAATATAGTGAAAATCAGCTGAAAGTAGAAATTTAGTAAAATAGCTGGGTGTGGTGGTACACACCTGTAGTCCCAGCTACTCAGGAGGCTGAGGCAGGGGGATCACTTGAGCCCAGGAGTTTGAGGCTGCAGTGAGACATGATCATGCCTGTGAATAGCCACCACACTCCAGCCTGGCAACATAGTGAGACTCTGTCTCTAAAGAAAACAAATAAATAAAAAGTAAAAAACAAAGTGTATTCTTTAAAAAAGGAAAAGAAATTTAATAAAAAATAAAAATCTAAGACATTAACAAGTGAGTCTTCCTTATTCTCTACTTTAGTTGATTTAATGAAATCCGATGATTTCATAGTCTCCCACTTCCACAGATCAAAAATTCAGAGACCCTTTAAAGAGTTGGAAGGGAACTGAGAAGGCTGAAATAGGTTACTTTAGAGATGACCATTTTAGCTTTTGTTTGAATTAGAAATCTCCTACCTGTCCCTTCTTTTGAACATCTTTAATTGCCAGAAAGTTATTTTATAGCCTAAAATTTGTTTCCCTGTAATTTCTTTCTAGACCTGCTATCTCTTGCTACAAAGAACAAAAACAAAAAACCCTTTCTTGATGAGAACCTGCCCTTCATCTCATATCTGTCTAAATCTTTCCTTTTCCACATTAAACATCACTTTGTTTAGGAGGCACTGTAATTTGGTGGAACGAGGAGAGATGAAGAAATGAAGAGATGGGGTTCTACTTCTCCCTCTTGTACTGACCAGCCTGGTAACTTTGGGTGAGACTTTACCACCCAAAGCCTCAGTTTCTTTCTTATAATGTGAGGATGTGAGGGAGTTGGACTTAGATTACCTTTTTCTTTTTCTTTTTGAGACAGGTCTTACTCTGTTGCCCGGACTAGAGTGCAGTGGTGTCATCATGGTTCACTGCAACCTCCCACTCCTGGCCTCCGGAGTAGTTGGGACTACAGAC